TGTAAAGCAGCTGAGAGGGTGAAATACTGTGGTGATCCAAACTTTTAGTACACAGAGGTTCTTGTTAATGCTGTGTTTTTAAATAGTAAAATGGTGAAGTGATAACATTGCAAACACTGTTTCATTAAATCAGCTACTGTAACTGAATAGCTGAACACTTCTTGCAACTGTATTTCATAATTATTTAGAGGTATTTTCTTCTAACTATCAACTGTTTAGAAAAATGTGTAGCCAGCTGCTTCTCTGCTGTTTCAGCACCTTTTACAAAACCACTTTCTTTATGTGTAAATGATCAGTGTAGCACATAATATCTCTTGTCTGCTAACTAGGGTTTTGTGCTTAAATGTGAGAAGCTTTATATTGAACCTTTATATTTGTTGTAATTAAAAATGTCATTTGAAGTGGTCTGTTTATGTAGAGCTCTTGCAGTGGTGGGCTGTACTGACAAGTGGTGCTGCTCAACTCATTATAAATGGGAGATGTGCACCTATTTTTTTTTTTTTTTTCCTTTTGGTTAGATAATAATATTTCTTATTGTAGATTTAGCTGATGTTTGCCTTTCTCCAGCAGCAGGACATGCTGAATGCATATAAAATGAATTTGTAGTGTCAAGAAAGAAAACTACTCTAAGTTGATGCAGGCAAATGTTTGAGATCTGTCTTGTGTTTGTTTCATTAAGCTCTTATAGGCCACCCAATTATGTAGCTCAAATAAATGAAAATTACTTCAAAATCCTACGTATTTTGCCAAAACTCTGCTGAATTTAAATCAGTTGAACAGGTTAGACAGGGCTTGTTTTGTGAATAAGAGTTGTCTTAAATGCAAAAGTTTAGGGAGTGCTTGGGCAAGGAAACTAGTTAGTTTTTGTTCTGTAGGTACAATGAGATGAATTCTCTGATCATATTAATAAGAATTAGAGTAGATGGGAAAGACTTTAGATTTTTGCTTTGAGGTATTGCTGTGACCAAGGCAGTTGTCACCGTGTGACTCAGGTCCGACAACAATGGTCTTGATCCCCTCCCCCTGCCACCCAGGTAGGGAAGGAGAGGGTGAAAAAGAGAGAGACTTGGCTGGATTGAAAACTAAACTACACAGCTTTAATTAAAACACTAATGAATGATATAAGAGAATATATACAATTCTATACAGATGTGTTCAGGTATGAGCAAAATCCTCTAGCTTCCTCCCACTCCCAGCAACTCCCACAGCACTCCCCTGAACTGGAAAGACTTGCGAGGAATCCCAGAGCTGCTGCTGGAGAAGAGCAGAGAGTGATGAGGGTCAGGAGAGCTCAAGCCTGGGGGTCGATTGTGATGGATGGAGTCCTCCCTGGATGCTGGCCATGGATGAAGAGAAGGGAAGAAGAAGAAGGAAGGAAGTTGTCTTCTGTGATCTCTGACCTTCCTGTGAGCTTACGTAGATATATGGAATGGAATATCTCTGGCCAGTTTTGCTGTCTGTCTAACTCAGCCTCCTACGGGGGGGTCATACATCTTCCCGTAGTGTCTGAGCCAGCAGAGTGAAGGTATGACCTTGAAATGTCAGTAGTCAGAAAAACATTCCACTGTCTTATCAGCTTAGCAGAACACACAGTTACTAGTTAAAAGAAAGCTTACTGAAGGAAAAAAAAAGAATCAGTAAAAGGAAAATTGGCTTCATCCTGGCTCAAACCAGGACAGCAGTCTTGGATATTTCTGAAGAATATAAAACAACGATCTTTTTGGCTTCAACTGTATAAAATTTGGTCATGAAGTGGTATCAATTTATTTGATGGTAGACTGTCATGCAAGGAAGCAAATAAAGCAGTGATTACTGGACAACTTTTTTTGACTGAGGTGACCTGAGTGTCTTGATCCATGAGTTGAATAAAACTAGTCCTGAACATGTTGGCAAAGCTGGATGAACAGATGTCACCAGCCCTTTGAGCTGATGGACTCAGTCGGGCAGGGAACTACTTCGGCTGGCAGCAGCTTCTGGTGAAGGGGCAAGCTTGTGCTTCTGGAAATGAGCACAGGAATTGCAGAAATGCTTTGTGACATTAAGTATATTTTGATGAAAGGAGGCATCTAGTAAAGCCAGTTGAAACAAAGAGATGAGAACCTCTTCATGCAGGAGAAAAGAGGGGGCGTGTAAAGGAGAGCTGGCAATTCAAAGAGAAATTCCAAGAACTGAAAAGATAAAGCTCTGAATGAAACTGTTATTTCAGAGTCAAAGAAGAAGGAAAGTCATGTAGGAAAGAGCTCCAAATGTTGCTGGTTTAAGAACTGCCTACAAAACAGCAAACAGCTTGCAGTTGAGCAAAGGGTCCACAAGGCAGATGGATATGCAGACATATGGATCAGCAAAGGCAGCTTTATGCCAAAAATCAAGGAGCCAAGAAGTCAAAATGACAATTATGGAAAGTCAAGTGGAAGTTTTTATTTTCTTAACTGGAGTGTATGGAAAACTAAATAGGTGGGGTTTGGGTTTTTTTCACTTACCAAAGAAAGATGTTTTGTGGGGAGTGGAAGGGAAACCAGACAGCTCTGGAACTGTTGAAGTAAAATTAGTGATGAATACGTAACAAATCTTGAAGAGATGATCTGTTACTTACATAGAAGGGAATGGAAAATAAGAGATGAAGTGTTTACTAAAGGGAAGTAGCAGCAGAGAATAAATAATTTGATTGCCCCAAAACAAGAATCATAGAATCTTAGGGGCTGGAAGGGACCTCGAGAGATCATCTAGTCCAACCCCGCTGCCGGAGCAGGGTCACCTAGAGTACATCACACAGGAACTCATCCAGGTGGGTTTTGAATGTCTCCAGAACATGGCTACTTGAAAACAGCAGAAGCACAACAGGCCTAATGGCTACTAAAACACTTAGCATCTTTAGAAAATTACTGGTTAAACTGGAGAAGGTGGAGATTGATTGTGAATGATGAATGCAGATTATTAGTCTTGAAGGTGGTGGGTAATGGGATTTCTTGAAAAGCAGTCTCAGAACTGGGCTTGTTAATATTTTTATTTCTGGAAGATGCATGTGGCACAAAATTCAATGATACTAGTGCAAAAGAAAGGTCAAGATGTCATAGGTGAGGGAAGAGATGATTGACTCCTGCCAGCTCATAAGTGGTCTGAAAGTGCAACGTACTTCTGCAAACAGACCAAGGAATATTTTGGCATTGTACATCATCTGTCCAGAAATAGCAGGGGAAAAAAAAAAGGATTTGTTAATCATCAAAGTTAAATGCTCTGGAAATAGGCCGTGTATTTGTGCAACAGCTGCAGGGGAGAGCTGATGGGTTGATCAGGGAAACATTTCTTGTGAAAGGCTGCAAGTGTGGATTTTGTTTTCATGAAAAGGATGGTCCAGTGGATGAGACTATGCTCTTAAAATGATGTTTGTCCCCAAATTCAGTGTGTTTAAGGGGTGCCAGTAGTAAATATCTGAGTGGGTTTTTTAATATTGGAAAAGAAAAGAAACCTCTGGCAGCCTTTTCCAGATATTATCTGATTTCCTGTAACTTGTTACTCTGTGGGGTACAATATGAATAAAGAAGAGACATTTTTAGGGGAAAACCAGTTGTGGAAAATAAACTCCAGAAAGGAATGAGGAAGGAGCTTACTTCAGTCTCTGGAAGTGCCAGGTGCTTTCTCCACTGTCTTTCAGAAGGATAATCTGCTGAGACTCGTATTTTGACACTTTTTTTCTTTCTAAAGAAAACATGATTTCTCCAATCGAAAAGACAACCAGTGTGTTTTGACTGCACCATTGATTGTGTGAATGGTTTGTTACATCAATGCTGCTGGAATAATTTGGGGGACCATGGGAAATCACTTAATGGCATTTGGTCCATGTCTGCATAATCTGACTTATTTTTTCTTGCCAGAGTAATTGAAGATGCTGCTTAATAAACTTTTTATAAAGATTCCCAGTTGGTTGCTGCATTTCAGAGACTTGTGCCTGAGCACAGAACTAATACATCTTGTAATTTTCTTTTTTCCTCTCCACCTCACTTAAATATTTTCCCTGGGGAAGAATCTAATGTACTGTAATGCTAGTACCTTTTACAAAGTGACCCTACTCATTATGATTTGTTCTCTGAAGCTCCCTTGACAACGTATAAATGCACTGAGAATACTTAAGCTTATTCTCCATCACTCTTTCAAAAATCTATTTGAAAACTGGTGGTTGAGGCTGCCATTACACTTCTGAGTTCCCTAATGCTGACTCTGTGTTCAGTGTCACAACATCCAGGCAATGGAAAGGTTTTTATTAGCTAAATAATTTATATCTAGGTATTTTCATGACAATTACATCTGGTGTGCTTCTGTCGAGTGCCACAGTGAAGATTTTTGGTTGTATTTATGGTTTGTGACATTGAAATGTTGAGGGCTTTCTGGGACTATAGTTGCTTTTATTAACTCTGTTGCAATGAGTTCAATACCTATTTTCATCCCATCCTCTCAAATAGCTGGGAAAGGTTTATTATGGCTGTTGGATCTTTTTTGCTGCTTGGAAAATGGATTCAGTGTTTAGGTTTATGGTATGTCCAGAGATAGGAAAGTATTAGTGCATTTCAGAAAAGAACAAATCTTTTAGCTCAGAGTAGGGTGCATACTTGCTGGCAGAGAGAATTATTTTCCTGGTAAAAGAATTCCTTAAACACAGAACACAAGCAACCAACAGACAAGAGTTTCATGCATATTTTTATTACTTAAGGATATATTTACATAAAGCGGTTGAATGAATTATATTTTGTGTGATTTAATGAATACTATAAATACTATTTTAATATTACATGTACTCTATGAACACATTTCTATTGTGTTATTTACTGTTATATTATTAAATATTATATTAATGATATAATATTAGCATATGTTGATATTCAGGTGTCCTTAAGCCAATCACAGTTCATCACAGCAATTCCTTTTTACAGCGACTGTGCCTCTGGCCTTTTCAACTCCATGTAGATGTCATACCTTCAACCTCTTTTTCCCTCCACCTTCTCTAGGTTGAAACAAGAACAGATGTATGTACGTGATGAGTTTGGCAAACTTCTGGAACGAGAGAGGATTTCATCCAATGAACATTTGACTCGAGCTATTCTTCGGGAGAGAGCTGCCTCGGAAGAGGAGCGGCAGAAGGCGCAGCGTTTTGTAAGTTCAGAAGCTTTTATAGAAGTCTCAGGTTTCTCAAACAACCATGTCTTCAGTCTTGTTTCTTCAAACTTTTTATTACTAGTTAATATGATGTAGTTTGCTTTTTTTCCTGTAAAATATCCTTGTCTTATGAGTAGTTGAGAAGAAAGGTCCTAAACATTCTGAACGTTACAAATCTAATATGTCTTCTGATGTGTGTGGGTAATATTAAAGGTATATTTTTCAGAGGGTGGAAAAAAGAGTAGTCCAGGTCTATGATGACTAAATGGCTAGAGTAGCTCTGATCTGGAGACAGGCTGGGAGACTTGGGGTGTTGAGCCTGGAGAAGAGAAGGCTCCAGGGAGACCTTAGAGCAGCTTCTGGTGCCTGAAGAGGCTCCAGGAAAGCTGGGTGAGGGACTTTTCAACATAAGGAAGAAATTCTTCCCCATGAGGGTAGGAAGGCACTGGAACAGGTTGCCCAGGGAGGTTGTGGCTGCCCTATCCCTGGAAGTGTTGAAGGGCAGGTTGGATGAGGCTTGTGCAGCCTGGTCTGGTGGGAGGTGTCCCTGCTCATGGCAGGGAGGTTGGAACCTGATGATCTTGAAGGTCCCTTCCAGCCTCAACCATTCGGTGATTTAATTTGCTAAATTTGTTTATTACAGAAGAGGTTAAAGGATATGAGCGAACTTTTCTAAAAATTAATTACTTCATATTTAAAGGAAATCCTTAATATTTCTGGACTTGAAATCTTGCCCAACAAAAAAAATTACCAAAGTATCAGCTTTGAAGTATTTTGTGTTCTAGAAAAAAAAAACAAGCCTAACTTTTGAGGATTGTCTCAAGCCTTGGAACAAGCTTAGTGAAAAATTCTGTATCAAAGAATCATATTTCATTAGAGCTGGTGTATAAAAATTTCCTGACAAGGAAGTCTTAAAAAATGGCTGGCTGTTCTCCTCTGATAACTGACACTATATATTTCAAATGTCTGGCAGATTTATAACTTCTTATAGATAGTGCTTGCTTGCTTTATTGAATCTGTATTGACTCTAACAATAGTCATTGTTCTCTGAGTTAGGACTATGCTTTCTTACATATTACTTGAGTAAAAATAATAAACAAGTTGGTATTTTCAAGAAAAAAGAAGTTTAAAATACTTGTGTGAGCATTCTTGTTAAAATAAATGGGATTACTTATGTCAGCAGCTATTTTAATATTTGTTTGGCTCTCTGTATATGAAATAAAATCCAAGCTTTTTAAGATTTATTGATTTGTAGCACAGAAAACCAATCCCTTCAATAAGCAATAGTTTTATCTCTGCTGTGCAAGTAGAAATCTATTGCCCATGTTATTTTTTTCCAAATCACAATTGAAACCCAAGCACATTTAACTTAAATACACCTGAGTATCTTTCACAGATGTTTCTTGATGCTTTTCCACCTCTATGGTATTTTTCTTGTTGAACAATATTCACAGTATAGTAAACCAATGTTGAATATTTGTTCATTTTAAAAGATGAGAACAAAAGAAAATGGAGGGGGATTATGAGCAAGGTGCAGCCTTAGTCTTATGCTTTAAACCCTCTGCTTCTTAATATTGTACAGGAGAGATAAAAGTTCTGTGGCCTCAATCTAATGAGGAGCTGAAGATTTATAATGGGGAATATTATTTGCATAATTACCAGGGGGTTTGCATCTTTCACTTAGCACTGTAGTTAGCACTGTGCTTCTGAGAATGCCTTTCTCACCAGCCAAATGCTTGAGAGGTTTCTTATTATGCATCTCAAACTGGTTTATTTAGCCATTATGTCAATTTTATTGTTAATTTTTACTTACTCCAGGATATTTGAGTTAGCACTGCCTACGTGAAGCATTTGGGGATTGCTGTTAATTCATTTTGAACCTTATCAGCCTGGGGACTGGTGTTCCAATGTGTGTGGTGTTGCTGTGTGTGGTGTTGGAAGAACAACATAAAATGGTATTAGTGAAATGAAGGAAATGCCTTAAAACCTGATAGGATGTCCCCTCAAGAGGAGGACAGCATAACTTGCTGCCTTCCAGTGGTCATGGCATCATTGCCTGGCATTTTAGAGCTAACTACCAGATATGTGCCTTTATGGAAGCACAGACATGTCTAGTTCTGGAGCCTCCAACATAAGAATGACATGGAGCTTGTGGAGAAAGTCCACAGAAGAGCCATGAAGATGATCTGAGGGCTGGAGCAGCTTGAGGACAGGTTGAGAGAGTTGGGGTTTTTCAGCCTGGAGAAGAGAAGGCTCTGGGGGGACCTTATGGTGGTCTTGCATTACCTGAAGGAGCTTCAGAAAAGCTGGGGAGGGACTTCTGACAAGAGCTTGTAGTGATGGGACAAGGTACTGGCTTTATCTGGAAGAGGGGAGATTTAGGTTACACATCAGGAAGAAATTCTCTGATGTGAGGGTGATGAGACAGGTTGCCCAGGGAGGTTGAAGAAGCCCCCTCCTTGGAGGTGTTCAAGTCCAGGTAGGATGGGGCTTGGAGCAACCTGGTCTGGTGGTAGGTGTCCCTGTCCATTCAGGGGGGTTGGAACTAGGTAATCTTTAAGGTCACTTCCAACCCAAACCATTCTGTGTCAGGCCATGGATATACTGGTCATCAGAAGAAAAGCAAGGTGTCTGAACTCTGCTAGTGACTTACGTGTCTTTGCATAGCATCTGGTTTTTGATCATCTCACTGTTTCTGTCAGTGAAGCTTTAAAATACCTTGAGCTTCTTTGGTGAAAATAACTGCACATTTGCTATTAATACTGCAAATCTGTAATTTCCATTACAGTTGGTTAATCCTTTGAGGTGTACTGTAAGATAACTAAGTAGCAAGTGGGCTTAGTGTGTTTGTTTCCTTAAAATGGGTCTAAATATGAAAAAAAGTCATTCTCACCTTCCTTGCAAGTCCTTTTAGAAGTTAGCTCATTTGTTTTCCTTTAACTGGTCAGTTTTGATTCTCTTGGCTCTATTGCTTGTGCTAACTCTATTTGTTTCATGTATGCAAGCTGAATTTATAAAATAACATGTGTGGGATGTGTCTGTGTGTTCTGTTTGTCAGGTAGAAAAAGCAATTCCATGTTCCAGTCAGCTGCTACAGTAGGTTTATATTTTATGTAGCCTGGATTTGATCTGGCCTGTCAGATTCTTTTTAGAGACAAGTGTTTCTGAAATGTCACTAACATTACCAGCAAGATTAATTAATTTTCTGCCAAATTGTTTAGCTAGTGCACAATAAAGGACATTATGGTTGGAAAGGAAGGAATATTTTTTGTGTTTCTAAAGGCTGAAAATTCAATTTTAGTAACTAGACATAAAATTGTTAGACTGATGTAAGTTTTCCTATTCTTAAACTATGTTAACATCAGCTGCTCCTTGTAGTTTCAGAGAGCAGAAGCTTTTCAGTGTTAACAGCTCAAAAGTTAGCATGAACTCTTCATACAAGCAAAGAAACTTGCTAAAATGAACAGCTAAAAAAGTGAAAGCCTTGCAGGTGCCAAGAACTACAGAAAAACTTAATTAGTCTCTAAGCAAAATTGTTGCACTTCTCAGAGCAAGAAGCCTGAAAGAAGGCAGCAGAGCTTGGGCAGCAAGGTGTAAAGTAAAGGAGGGGGCATGCTTAAAAAACATGTTTAATGATTTAAGTGAGCAGAATGTGGAGCAATGTGATACCTGTTGGGCTAATATAAAGAAATTAACTTCTCCAAATCCATAAAATATGACCAAAAGGATTCTAAGTATCAATTAACAAGAGGTTTAAGAGCCAACACACACATGTGGATGCACACTCACACACACACACCCACCATGGAACAGAGATCCTACCAAAGATTGTAGACCAAGGAGAAGATGGGGGAGTATGAGCAACCTGTAGAAGAGATGTGTCCATAGCAGCAAAACACCCTGAATTATTTTTTCACCTGTCTCTTTAGAGTGGAGGAGCTTGAGAAAGTTCCCATTCCAAAACTTTGCAGAGGTCTTCTCAAAGAAGATTGGAGATACGAAGCTGCTGTAGAAAATGTTGAGGGAGATTAACAGTTTTACCAAGAACAGCTCTTCAAGCCTGGCTCAGGTTCATAAAAAGCTCTGAAAGAAATTTGGCTGTGATAGATGAGCTAATGATAGCTGAGCTATTTATGTGCTGTGTAAGCTGCTAGGGAAAGCTCCCTCACTCCAGGTGGACTGGAAAGTGGTGGATGGGATGTCAAGTTCTTAAAAAAACAATTCTGGGGGAGATCTAGAGCTTTACAAACCAGTGATTTTGATGATAGTACCAACCAAGGTAGGAATTACAACTTAGAGTGGAATTTCCAGACCCTGACCCAAGCCCTCATGGAGTCAGGGGGAGGATTTATTCAACTATTTCAGCAGAAATAAGTCCAGCTGCTGTTGACTCGTTTAATAATGGCTTCAGATGCCATTGACTTTGAGGAGTATTTCAGACCCAGCCTGACCTTCCTTCTCCCACAGCACTTGGGTCTAGTCTTTAAAATGCAGAGCCAGTGAGAGTGTACTGAAGAGCTGCTGAGATCTTGGATCTCCTCTGGCTTCTCTCCCATCTCTGGAGAGATCCTGCTGTTTCCATTGTGGTCAGGCTGATATATGATATTTAATTTTCCTTTCAGTGAACTGGCTTATTTAGAAGTGTCAGATGTACACCAGTGTTAGGTGCAAGTGCTGCTTTGCTGGTAAAGAGTTGCTTCTTTTTCTGCCCGTTTCCGTCTCTGCACTGCAGTTCACCCCCTTGTCTGTGGTGTCAGTGCAGATGTTGGGGGCTGGAGCCCACACATTACAAATCCATCCTTGGAGGCCTTTTCAAATGCTGCCCACAAGCTGCTTTGTAGTTTGCCTGCAAAAATAGCTGAATTGAGGAAATTGCAACATGTGTATGAAGGACAGGTTGTCAGGAGAAGAAAATGAAAAACTTCTTGAACTGATCCTGCCACCACAGAGGCTTTTTGTACCTTTAGCTTTATTTAGTCAGTTTGGAGACATGACAT